GAACATCTCTAAACATCCTCAACAACACTGGCTTTCTCAAAGAGGCCTTTAATCATTGCCAGCGCAGGAGGGTGTGTTGACCCACAGCTTGGAACTTTGATGTCTGCGCTACATTTTATCACTTAAGAGGTACTTTCTTCCTCTGAAAGTGCTGTTTTCCCTCATGGAAATAACCCAAAAGCAGACAGACAGAAATAGCAAAAGATCAACTGACTTTGGTTAAGATGTGTACTCTTTCTCTGTTAGCGTTCACATTTTGAATGTAGGGTAACCTGAAACTAGCCACGTTCCTAAGAGGTAATCAAAGTCTATGCAGTTTCTAGTTTGTTAAAGACAGTTTTGAGACAAAACTAGTGGCCACTTCAGCTTTTCAAAATAGGACTTAAAAATACATTTCAGATGCCATTGTGTGGTTTGTTTTCTCTCATAAGAAATAAACTTTCAGAGCTGGTAAGGTAGGGAATGGCTTTATACCTTCTAGTGTTTTTTTTTTTTTAATATTTTATTTATTTGACAGAGAGCACAAGCAGGTGGGAGGGGTAAAGAGAGAGGGAGAAGCAGACTCCCCACTGAGCAGGGAGCCCGATGCAGGACTCAATCCCTGGACCCTGGGATCCTGACCTGAGCCAAAGGCAGACACTTAACCAACTGAGCCACTCAGGCGCTCTTACCTTCTAGTTCTAAAAGGCTAATTGGTGAGGGGCTCAGTCTGTTAAGCATCTGCCTTTGGCTCGGGTCATCATCTCGGAGTCCTGGGATCGAGCCCTGCATCGGGCTCCTTGCTCAGTGGAAGAGTCTGCTTCTCCCTCTGCCTGTACCTCTGCTCCCCACTCATGCTCTCTGTCTCTCTCTCAGATAAATAAAATCCTTAAAAAAATAAAAGGCTAATTGCTAAGAAATGTATTTCAATACATATTGTCATTTCTCTGCAAATTACTCTGAAATGTATACACTTTGCCTCATTCTTTTTTTTTAATATTTTATTTATTTATTAGAGAGAGAGAGAGACATCGAGAGAGGGAACACAAGCAGGGGCAGAGAGAGAGGGAGAAGCAGGCTTCCCGCTGAGCAGGGAGCCCGATGTGGGGCTCGATCCCAGGACGCTGGGACCATGACCCGAGCCGAAGGCAGACGCTCAACGACCGAGCCACCCAGGTGCCCCTCGCCTCATTCTTAACTCCCATCTACAGTTTTGTATCTCCAGCTGCTCACTCAACAATTGTACTTGGAAGTCTTATCATCACCTCACACTTAAGTTTTCTAAAATTCCACTTCTTTCTAAGATCAGCCCCATGTGCTCACAGTGACCCATTTCTATCACAAGTACCTTTCTTCTTCCCTAGCTCTGACACCTAGGCAGCATCTTTGATCATTCTTTCCCTCTAGTCACTGGAACCCATAAATTATTTTCTTAATGTCTCTCAGATACATTGATCCCTTTCTTTATCACTTTTCATTCCTTTGCTCTTTTCATTTTTTGTCACCTTAGTCCTAGAAGTGACAAACATTTTACTTCTAAGTTATCCTAGTGTGGTCCTCCTACCTGAGGGGATTTATCATACTCAAGCACAGCTTTGCTGATCTGATTGTCCCTGAAGCCTTTATGTGTTCCCATCGGCCCACCTGTCATTAACTAGGCACACAAGACCCCCATATCAGACCTGCAGCTCTGGGTCACTCGCTGCTCCCCATGAAAATGCTGACAGCAGTGCCCAAGTCAGGCCCCTCTTTTCTGACCCCATGCCCAGCCCTCACTGGGAGCCTCAGGATCTTTCCTCTGACCCTGAATCCAAATGAGATCCTAAATGTACCTAAAGGGCCTGCACAATGCCCAGCTCACAGGAGATGCCTAATAAATAGCAGTAGTTCGGGGCGCCTGGGTAGCTCATTTGGTTAAGCAGCTACCTTTGGCTTATGTCATGATCTCAGGGTCCTGGGATCGGGCCCCATGTCCGCCTCCTTGCTCAGCGGCGAGTCTGCTTGTCCCTCTCCCTCTGCCCCTCCCTGCCTCCACTCATGCGCATGAACTCTCTCTCAAATAAATAAAATCTTAAAAAAATAATACTGATAAGCAAATAAATAAATAGCAGTGGGTCAATTATTATTTCCTGGGATACTGTTCTCATGGCAGCTGTTTAATCAGCATTAGCCAGAAAAAGGAACTACTTTATCAAAATGATTACTTTTTCTAAAAACCTATGTAAGATCTCCCACTTCCTTAGCAATTTGAAGAGACTGCCCAAAGGAAAGCAACTTAGGAATTTTTTTAATGTTCCTAAACATACAAATAATAAATATGATTATCAGAAATGATTTAAAGTTTGTCATTAAGAACATTTATTTGAAGTCTTCCAAAAAGAACAGTTTTTGTTTTTGTTTTTTAAAGATTTTATTTATTTATTTGACAGAGAGAGACACAGAAAGGGAACACAAGCAGGGGGAGTGGGAGAGGGAGAAGCGGGCTTCCCGCCGAGCAGGGAGCCCGATGCGGGGCTCGATCCCAGGACCCTGAGATCATGACCTGAGCCGAAGGCAGACGCTTAACAACTGAGCCACCCAGGCACCCCCAAAGAACAGTTTTTTGGGTTTTTTTTAAGATTTTATTTTTAAGTAACCTCTACACCCAGCATGGGGCTCAAACTCATAACTCCAAGATTGAGAGTCTCATGCTTCACCACTGAGCCAGCCAGGCGCCCCAAAAAGAACAGTTTGGGCCTCACAGAAGGTTGTTCCCCTCTTTACTATTATTTATTATTATGAATAACATTAATTTAATTATTGTATTTTAAAATTGTATCTTATATTTAATCTTTTAACTTTATCTTTGCCTAATTATCTTTTTAGTACGGATGAGGAATTTCTATTCCACTTTAACACTGAGTTTAAAATTCAGTTGTTTATTCTTTGCGTTGAAAATCCCCCACTGGTGTTGGGCCAAAAGGAATATAACTTTTTTTTTTTTTTTTTTACTATTTCATATATATTTTTACAATTATTGTAACGTTATACATTTTCATTAAGAACAACCTGATAAATACAGAAAACCAGAACCAAAAGAATCACAACCCTCCCCCACCCAACATATCCAGACCTGCTACAAATACTTCATTGTATTTTCTTCTAGTCTTTGTTTATAGATTTGCTTTTTTTTTTTAAGGTTTTGTTTTATTTATTTTAGAGAGAAAGTAGGGGGAAGGAGTAGAGGGAGAGGGAAAGAATCTTAGGCAGACTCTGCCCTGAGCACCAGCTGTCACTGGGGTCAGTCTCTGGACCTGAGATCAGGACCTGAGCAGAAACAGTCAGTCGCTCAACTGACTGAGCTACCCAGGTGCCCCTAGGTTGGCTTAAAATATAGTGCTCTATGTAAGTATAATACATCACTTTGTAAAAGGTGATACAATGCCGGTGGCTCAGTCAGTTGAGCATCCAGCTCTGGATTTCGGCTCAGGTCATGATCTCAGGGTCTTTAGATCCAGCCCCATGTCAGGCTCCAAGCTTAGTGCAGAATCTGCTGGGGTTGCTCTCTCCCACTCCCTCCTCTGCCCCTCCCCACTCTCCCTCTCACACGCACTAGTGTGCACACGCGCTCGCTCTCTCTCGCTCTCTCAAATAAATAAGTAAATCTTTCAAAATAAATAATAAAAGGTGATACAATTCTCATGACTATATTTAAAAGCAGGTAAACTGCTACCATATATGCTTTACTTACCACATGCCAGACTCTGTATGAGGCACTTCACTTGCATCCTCACGTTTAATTCTTAAACCCTCCCAGTGGGGGTAAATGCTCTTACCACCCCCACTTATACATGAGGAAGCTGAGTCTTTAGGAAGTCCAGTCCCCACAGCTACTGAATGGCAGAAATGGAATAAGACCCCAGGCAACCCAGACCTGGAACCTGTTTCTTAACCACTGTACCTGGAATGTGTAAAAACTTGAGCCCTCTCTGCATGACCACCATGGGTGATGAAGAGTGATTGACTTCCCTTGTCTTCACAATAGCGAGGTGGAGAAACCCTTACCCGTCAGCGCCTCTACTGTAGTAATACCAGGAATACTGTAAATAATCATTAGCCCCTGTTTATGCCATATACCATCCTTGCCACTTAACTTTCAGTGTCTCTAATCTTTACCAGAAGCCTTGAAGGTTTCTGTTAACCACCATTTCACAATTGAGAACACAGGACTCGGAGAGCTCAAGTAACTTATGCGTAGTCACAGAGCACGTGATTGAGGAGCTAGGATTCTAACTCCATGGTGTTCTACACCGTACTTCCACTCCAAAAAACAATCTAAGACCCAGATAAGAACGAGAAGAGTATGGTCCTTTGCCGTTTGCTTACTGCCAACATTAGCATGTTTCTGTGGCACCAGATTGGCCAAATCCAGAGGGCATGACATGTGTTTGGATTGAAAGGGTATATTGAGCCCCAGGGGAGTTGATCTGGCACAGGGCACCTCAGAAAATGAGGTTTCACTCACTTTTTGGTACTTTATTCCTGTGGGAGCCTCTGCAATCACATGTTTATGAAATAATTACCTAACGAGAAGGCAGATTTGTCTGGATAAAAAAGGCATTATTTACATGAAGTACATCTGTTATTGCCAACTCCAGACATTTTACTGGCCCAAAAAACTGTTTTGTTTTGTTTTGTTTTGTTTTGTTTAAATCATACACACGAAAGGACTTGAGAAATTTAATTGGGAGAACTGAGGCCGGAGGAATTACATTTTCCAAGTAAGTTAGTGAAAGAGAAGGATCCAGGATTCTCCACTGCCCCCAAGTCCATTGAGCTTTCCGCTACATTGTTTTGCTTCACCTAATTTTCAGAAGTATGACAGTGCAGAAAAATTCAGCAAGGTTTATTTGGTTTGTGGAATGTGAATTTTTAGACATTAAGTTGGTCCCATATAAAAATCGGCTTTATAAGAACGGCAGTAATCTCAAACACCTGCTAAATTATTTGTCCCATTTCTGTTGTTGTCTTTTTTTTTCTAGATTTAATGATGCTTTGCAACAGTCTCTAAGTCTGAAGCTTTCTGTGCCTGTGCATCCCAGAATTTGCCAAGATATGGAGGAGCCTCTGCAGAACGATCTGAACACGATGACCCACGAGAAGGATGACCCTCTCCAGAGCACCAGCCCTCAGATTTCTGTTAGTGAATTTTCTTGCCACTGCTGTTACGACATCCTGGTTAACCCCACCACCTTGAACTGTGGGCATAGCTTCTGCCGGCACTGCCTAGCTTTGTGGTGGGCCTCTTCAAAGAAAACAGAGTGTCCAGAATGCAGAGAAAAATGGGAAGGTTTCCCTAAAGTCAATATTCTCCTCAGGTAATGCTCAGTCCATATGGGTAGCCCATGCAGCTAGCACAGTGTGCTTTCTCTTCATGGGAGCAGCCAAGCTTGAGCGGGCCAGAGGCAAAGAGCCGCCCCCCTCCATGGTCATTCTAGATCTGCTGGTGTGTGAGTCGGGGAGCCCAGGGACTGCAAATCCAGACTCCCTTCCTCACAGGTGATCGTGATCTGTTTGCGATTGTTTATCATAAAGGAGAAAAAGAAATTCTGGGTATCAGACCATTGCTTATAATCCTTTGTCATATAACACTTTTTATTGATTTGTATCTACCACGGACACCCTAGGTCTAATAGAGAAAGTGGTATAACTGCACAATTCTGTACAAATCAGTTTGATGCTGATTTTCATCATCTTTGACTAAATTCTGTTCCAGTTTTCATATCAATAGAGGTAGCTTCTCATGCATAGTCTCATACAACAAATGGCAAGACCTTTCAGATAGTAGGTTCTTTTCTGCTTCTGTCCATAATATTTATAATGTACCTGTGAGGTCTTTGAGGCTAAAATCCTTGCTTTTCTTCTGTTGCCTTGATACCAACAGAGTACCAGAAAGCTCTATGAAAACATTAACCTAACAATCTCTTTTTCATTTGAGACATATTTACAGATACTTTGCTCTCATCTGTCAGCCTGGTTTACCTGAAGGTTGCTCTTAAATTGAAGGAAGATTCTTTGATTATGGGTAATTGCAAATGGAGAGCCCTATAGTAGGACCTAATGGTCTTCCTCTTACTACTCAACTCCACTTGTTTTCTTTTTTATGAGTTAATTTTTAATAACATATGCAATACATAGATACCTTCAATTGCTTATATTCTTTTTAAAAAATTAGAATTATTACTAATAAAGTTTTAAAGACCCCATTGGCCTCTTTCCCTATCTTGCCATCCTTCCTTCCTTTTTGCCCCAGAGTCATTTCAGTTATGACTTAGTTATGATTTCCTTCAGATTTTTAAAAATACTTTTATACATATGTGTGCCAATAGGAAATCCAAATATTTCCTCACATCTGTGGTGTACTATCTGTATGGTTCTACAGTTTACTGTTTTCATTCAACAATATGTATGTCTTAAATGTACCCATCTAGATACAAGTGATACCCAGTAAATTCATTTCTAAAACCATGTAGCATTCCATTGTGTGAATAGACCATGTTTTATTTGACTATTTCTCTAACCATCGACATGTAAGTTGTTTCTCATTTTTTGCTGTTACCAACAGGGCCATAACCAACCTTCTTGTCCATTCTTCTAAAGTGCTTGTATATTATTAAATGTTGACTGTTAGTTTGATTTTAACCTCTAAACATTATTAGATTTAGGCAGATAACTGTCTTGTGATTTTTTTTTCCTATTCTCCATAGGGATGCCATTGAAAAATTATTTCCTGATGCCATTAGAATGCGATATGAAGACATTCAGCACAATAATGACATAGTCCAGAGTCTTGCAGCCTTTCAGAAATACGGGAATGATCAGGTTCCTTTAGCTCCAAACACAGGCCGAGTGAATCCTCAGAGAGGCGGGGGATTCTTTTCTGGAGTGCTCACCGCTTTAACTGGTGTGGCAGTAAGTTTATCTCTGTGTTTCTCTGCCCCCCGCCCCCCACAGTTTCCACTGAAGTCAGGTCCTTTGTAATTGATGGCATACCTGTATGCGATGATTCACTGCGTACATGGAAATCTGCTGGGTCGTATGATTCTTCGGGGATGCTGCATACTCAAGTAGTCAACGTCATATTCAGAGCCCAGTTATTGTTAGCTTTATTCCATTTCATGCTCTTCATAACCTCTGCAGTAGCCACCGTTATTATTCTCATTTTGTCTATTTCTTTTTATTATTATTTTTAACGTAAGCTCCATGCCCAGCATGGGGCTTGAACTCATGACCCTGGGATCAAGAGTCACGTGCTCTACTGACTGAGCAGCCAGGCGCCCCTACTGTTCCCATTTTAGAGGTGAGGAGACCAATGCAAGGAGGTGTTAGAACTGGAATTCGAGACCATGTCTACCTTGATGGTCCAGTCTCGAGCACGGCACTTTACTAACTTCCCGTGGAGAGATTATTTTCTTTTCAGTTCCATGCTACAACAATTTAAAGGTTACACATTTTCCAGCAAAAAAAAGGCACATGATAAGTCCATTATACCGGCCAAGATGTTGGGGTCAAGGGTGCAGTGCCCCCAGATGCTCTGCACTGAGTCCTGTTTCTGACTCTGTTCCCCAGCAGTGAGAGGCCCCCCCTCCCGAGAGTTCTGCTCCCCCTCTCTCTTTGCTTCCTCTTACCAACGTGGCATCATTCCCTTCACGCTCAGCCTGACCTTCCTCTGTGTTAAGGGCTCTCCCTCTTCCCCAGGTGGTCCTGCTCGTGTATCACTGGAGCAGCAGGGAATCTGAGCACGACCTCCTGGTCCACAAGGCCGTGGCCAAGTGGACAGCGGAAGAAGTTGTCCTCTGGCTGGAGCAGCTGGGCCCTTGGGCCTCTCTCTACAGAGACAGGTTTTTAGCGGAAAGAGTAAATGGAAGGTAAGAAGCAAGATCTTCTGACATTTTTTTTTAAGCTGCTTTATTGAGATATAATCCACATACTATAAAATTCACCTATTTTTTTTTAAAGATTTTATTTATTTATTTGACAGAGAGAGACACAGCGAGAGAGGGAATATAAGCAGGGGGAGTGGGAGAGGGAGAAGCAGGCTTCCCGCTGAGCCGGGAGCTCGATGAGGGGCTCGATCCCAGGACCCTGGGATCACAACCTGAGCCGAAGGCAGATGCTTAACGTCTGAGCCACCCAGCCGCCCCAAAATTCACCTATTTAAAGTGTACAATCCATGGTGTTCAGTATATTCACAGATGGGTGCAGCCATCACCCCAGTCTAGTTTTAGAACATTTTCATCACCCCAAAAAGAAAGCTCTTATTCATTTGCCATCAGTCCTCATAACCCCCTGGCAACCACCGTTCTCCTTGCTGTCTCAATGGATTTGCCTATTTAGACCACTTTGTATAAATGGAACCAGACAATATTCATGACCTTTTGGGTCTGGCTTTTTCACCTCGCAGAATATTTTCAGGGTTCATCCAAGTTGTCGCAGGTGTCAGTGCCTCTTGCGTTTTTTATTGCTGAGTAATATTCCAGTTGGGGGCTAAATCTCTTTTTATTTATCCATCCTTCTGTTGATGGACACTTGGGTTGGCTCCGTTTGGGGACTGTTACGAGCAGTGCCACCGTGATCCTCAGCATACAGGTTTTTGTGTAGATCTGCATTTCCAGTACTCTCTTGGAGTGGAATTGCTGGGTCATAAAGTAAATCCTTGTGTTTAACTTTTTGAGGAGCTGCCAAACTGTTTTTCCAAAGCCACTGAACCATTTTATGTTATTGACATTTTGTGTGTTGCTTCTTGATTATAAAAGAAGCAGGTATTTACCAGTTATTTAAAAATAATAATGTAGAACTATAGGGTATTGGAAGTGAAATACCCTCATAATTCTACTCTTTAGGGAAAACCACCATGGTCATCTTTCTGGACATCTTTCCAGAATTTTTTTCCATGTTTATACAGAGATACACATAAATGTATTTTTTTTTAAAGATTTTATTTATTTATCTGACAGAGACACAGCGAGAGAGGGAACACAAGCAGGGGGAGTGGCAGAGGGAGAAGCAGGCTTCCCACTGAGCAGGGAGCCCAATGTGGGGCTCAATCCCAGGACCCTGGGATCATGACCTGAGCCGAAGGCAGACGCTTAACGACTGAGTCACCCAGGCGCCCCTATTATTTATTTGTTTAAACTGAAAATACAATTATACTAACCAGACCTGTGTTTATATATGTATATGTATATATGCGTGTATGTGTATATCCGGAGTCTATTTGATCTCTCCCAAAACAAATCTGGGTCGTTTCCTTTTTCCTGTTCTAGGCAGTTCCAAGCAATGTTGTAGCAAATGCCCTGATACAAGGAACTCCCGTATCGAATTGCCTGGCTCTAGGGAGGCCCGCTTATGCCCATCAGCATTTCCCCTCGCCCCCTTCCAGAGCCCTGTCCATCTTTATTGGAGTCTTTCCTTCCCCGAGGGACTGTGGAAGGATAGTACCTAGCGCAGCACGCAGTGCCAAGAGCGGCCGCGATCCACTTGTCCCGGACGGCCGTCTACTCACTGCCCCCTGGAACTGGGCTTTCAGCACTTGACCCTCCTTTGGGAAAGCCAAATGCTCCCACTCGAATCGTCTGTTTTTTGTAAGAATTAGTACCTCTCCCCAGTTGTGGTTAAAAAAAATTTTTTTTCTCTACCTACCTAATACATGTTTGAGTAATTGCCTTCCTTCCGGAAGATAAATTCCTAGAACTAGAATTTCTGGGTCAAAGGACATAAACCTTTACAACTTGGATAAATGTTTCCAAATTCCCCAGAAAAGGACATCAGCCTCCATCCATCCACCAGCGGTCATGTGCTGCCTGTGGGGCTCTCGGCTATTGCTGCACCCGGGGTGTTTTTAACGATGAATGATTGTTGAGGTGGAGTCATGTTTTCTGACGAAAGGGATCAGACAAGGGAGCTGCCATCATTTTTCTTAAATTACTACCCCCAAACAGCTACTCTTAAAATCATAACATTTTATTGGATTTCTTTCCAATTCTTTTTTTCTATATATACACATTTTGAAAAATAGGGCAGTATGTGTGAGGTCAGCCTGCGTAGCTGGGAGATCAGAGGTTAGAAGCAAAAGAGATCAGGCTGTGCCTTGGCTGAGCCATTTGATGTCTCCAAGCCATTTTTTCAGCCACAAAATGGCCATCATGCCACCTACTGGGCAGAATTGTTAAATGGATCTGTGGTGACTCACGGAAGTCATTTTAGAGAGTCACAAAGATTCAGTGGTTTGCTGTTATTACTGTTATGCTGTATACTAAGTGTCTTAACTTACTCAAGCCTGAAGTGTTTGTGCTGATAGGATGCAAGCCTGACTGTGAAGAGTTTGCCTTCAAAAGAAATCTCCTCCTGCTACTCCCCCTCCCCGACAGGTTGCTTTTAACCCTGACAGAGGAAGAATTTTCAAGGGCACCATATACCATAGAAAACAGCAGCCACAGAAGAGCCATCCTCCTGGAACTGGAGCGTGTCAAAGCCCTAGGTGTGAAGCCACCCCAAAATCTCTGGGAATATAAGGTGAACTCTTTATTTATTTTTTTAATTGAGAAAAGTATAAAGAACAGCCTCTCCGTCATCTGCATGCCCACTGAGTAGGAAAACATCACAGACCCCCCTGAAGCCCCCAGCTCTCCACCCTCTCTAGAGGTACCATGCTCCTGCCGCTGAGCTGGGGGTCCCTACTTGTGTCGGGAGTGTGCATACACAAGCACTAGGAGCGTTGTTTCACAGGTCCCTAACCTTCACGGAAGGGGCCTGAGCTGAGCATGTCCTTCTGCAAGTAGCGACCTCTCTGGCCCCAGTTCACTCATGTTCGCTTTCAAGCACGTGCTAGTTGAGGCCTTGTCCTGTCAGTGAACCCTGAGATCCTTTCCCTTTTTGCTATTAGAAACAGTGCTGCTGTGGAAATTCTTTGGACATTCTTATGCTTTATGGTGTGTACTGCGGAACGGGATTGCTAGTTCACAGGCAATACACATCTCCAACTTCATGAGTTGAAGATAAGTTACTCTTCACCGTGACTGCACCACAGATAAGATTTAGCAAATACTGTACCATAAAACGAATATTTTTTATTATAAAATATCTGGAATAAATACCGACTTGTATCCTAAAAAAGATAGCATGGAGAAAAGTAATTACAAATGACCCATAAGTCCATAGGGAAAAAATGCTCACTCATAATTAAAGAAGTGCAAACTGAAATAAGCAGATGGCATCGTTTTCACCTCTGTGGTCTTGTCAAGGACAAGAGCATCATAATCTAAGGAAAGAGACCCTTGTGTGTTCTGTGGATCCTAAATATGGTGCAGTCTCCGTGGAGAGCAGTTTATCAATAACTATTAAAATTTAAACTGCCCCTACTGCCTGACCTGCAGTTTCACTTCTTAGCACGTAGAGCATACAGGTAGCATGTCTGGGGGTCAAGGGCGGGGCAGCTGCACCCCTTGCCGGGCTCCTCCAGGGCACGCTGGCTGTGGAACAGCAGCGGGCCCCGGGGCCCCGTGTGCCCATCTCCTCCTCGGTAATCACAGAGAGAACCGACCTTTGAGTCCCCAAACGTCACCCAATGAGACACTCACCGCAGCATCGTTGGTAATAGCAGCACATGGAAATCAAGTGAAGTGCCCACCATGAGGACAGGTTACATAAAGAGGGCGCACCCATACTTATAACCAGTACAGAAGAAGATAGAAGGTGGGGACTCTGGGTGTGCCAGTAAGGAAGGATGCCCAAGTTGTACTGTTAACTGCAAACAAAGAAAAGCGCATTGGAAAATAGACACATCTGTATGTATCTGTGTGTTCGCATTTGCATAGAATATTTGTGGAAGGATACACAAACTGTTAGTGTTTTCATCTAGGGGTTGGGACTTGGACAGAAGGGAGAATTTTGTCAATACATTTCTGTGCCGTTTGGAAAACATTGTGTTGACTTTGTACACATATTATTTTAAAACTAAAAAAACACTTGTTTCAGAATTTTTGAAGACGGGGCATGGAGAAGGTTTGTTGTTTTGTGCGTTATTGCGGACTCTCTATTTAAAATACGTAGAAGTAATCTTAATATTAACCAGAGCAAATGGGAACGCGATTCTGGACCCAGGCAGAATCTTATCAGTTGGCTCCTTCAGGTCTTCTGAGTGGGCAGGCCCTCCCAGAGGGTGGCCATTTGACAAATCGCCAGTGAGCCAACAGGTCCAAAGGTGTATGATAAGATTCTTCCAGCCCTGCTGTCCGGGTGCAATTCTTGTTCTCATTCAACATGAAAGAAACGGCTCCCCACTGAAGTACTATCATCATAACCACCTTACTGGGTGGTTGCTTTTCCTCCTTTTCTGATAGGAAGCAGGCAAGCACTCACACTGGTTCAGCACTCACACTGACACCAGACCCACAAATAGGTCACCTGCTCATCTCCCTTTCTCTTGTACTAACCATGATGTGGCTGGCCACACTCCAACTTTATTTCTGGGACCAGTGCTCCTTTAGATCTTGCATATTTTACAAGAACAGTACTGCCCCCAGGGCGATTGATTGGTGGGAGGTGAAGAATAAAAAAAGGCTTAGATAATTTGTGATTTGTGGTGCCCTCCAAAATACCACAGTACATAAACAGATGTATAGTATATCTGTGGTATTCACATTTCATGGGGAGACAGGATTATGAAAAAAAACAATGTTTTTAAAAGGGGACAATAAAAAAAAAAAAACAGGTTGGGAAACATTTTTGAATGATGAATTACTCCCATGTCTATTTCTCACCTACGTTAGGATGCAAAGATATTTACTATGGAAAATTTCAAACATACAGACAAGCAGGATAACACTACAGAACTGCCAGGTACCTTTACCAGCTACAGCAACTTATGGCCATGTTGATTTCAGTGATCCCCCACCTACTCCCACCCCTATTTTGAAAATCTAAGATACCTTATTTTTCATAGGTAAATATTGCATTGTGAATCTCTAAAAAGTAAAGACTCTTTTAAAAAGAAAACTAGGAGCACCTGGGTGGCTCAGTCGCCAGTTAAGTGTCTACCTTCAGCTCAGGACATGATCGCAGGGTCCTGGGGTCGAGCCCCATGTCCAGGACCCCCAGCTCAGCGGGGAGTCTGCTTCTCCCTCCCCCGCCCCATTCTCTCTGTCTCTTAAATGAATAAAATCTTTTTTAAAAAATTTAAAAACAAAACTAAATTCCCTGATATCACATAACTTGGCAGTATTTAAATGTACTACATCTTTTTTTCTTCCAGTTCATTTGTTCCAAACAAGGTCTACATTTGGCCATTGTGTCTCTCAATCTCTTGTAGTGTATGGATTCTCCCTCCCTGTTTTTGTTATCCTGCATTTATTTGTTGATTTAACTGGATAGTTTTGCCTGTAGTTTGCCCACATCTTGAATTCGGCTGATTTTCTCTCTGTGGTATCACCTGACAGGTTCTGCTGTCTCCTGCATATCCCATAATCCAGTAGTTATATCTAGAAGCTTGCGTTGGTTTGGGTATTTGACAAGACTACTTCATACGTGGTGGGGTTTTCTTCCATCAAGAGACTCATGATATCTAATTGTTTCTTTCTGATGGTAGCAGCCACCATGATCATTGATTCTTTACTTGCAAAATGGTGATACTGTAATTCTCTCATTTCTTCATTTTTTTTTTATTGAGAGAAAGAGAGCACAAGGTGGGGGTGGGGGTGAGGGCAGAGGGAGAGAGAGAGAGGAAGAATTGCAAGTAGACTCCCTACTGAGCATGGAGCCCGATGCAAGGGCTCGATCTCACGACCTTGAGATCATGACCTGAGCTAAAACCAAGAGTCAGCTGCTTAACCGACTAGGCCACCCAGGTGTCCCTTGGTTGTTTTGTTTCTTAACTTCCACATATGAGTGAAATCATACGGTGTTTGTCCTTCTCTGACTTAGTTCATTTAGCATAATACCTTCTAGCTCCATCCGTGTCATTGCAAATGGCAAGCTTTCATTCTTTTTTTTTATGGCTGAATATATTCCATTGTGTGTGTATATATATATATATATAGCACATCTCCTTTCTCTATTCATCAGTTTGATAAGTTTTGTCATATTGCACACACCTGTGAAACCATCACCATAATCAAGGTAGTGAACATATCCATCACTCCCCAAAGCCACCTCCTGCCCCTTTGTTGAGCCCTGCTCCCCACCCCTCCCCATTCAAATAACTGCATGGTGCTAACACACTGATCCAACTTGCATTTCTCTAAGAACTAATGATATTGAGCATCTTTTTATGTGGTTATTTGCCATCCTTATTATAAATCTTCTTTGGTGAAGTAGCCATTCATACCTTTTGCCCATTTTATTTGATGCTTAGTAGTGTCCAAGTAAACTGAATCCCTTTGAATTTACTTTTATAATCAGGAAAAATATAAATACCCATTCTTCATAGCAAAATTTACTGCAATGATGAAAATGAAAATAAATTGCCCACAGCCCCACCAGAGAGTCAAACACGGTTTACATTGCATTTTGCTCTATTTTCTTCCAGACAATTTTCTCTGCATAGTTTAAGTGGTCCTTTTGTTTGTCTATTCATTCCACAAACACTTATATCTATTGTGAGCCAGGTGCTCCTCTAGGAACAGATGCGAAGGAGGCCTGGCTTCTCTGGGGCCGACAGCAGAGAGATCAGATTGCTGCATGTCTTTGAATCTTGTTTCACCTAACGGTGTAACACAAGCATTACCCAAAATTGCCCATATTCATTTTTCAGTGGCTGTATGAACTCTTTGCTGAAACACCTACTGTAACTTCATTATTTAGGTCACAGATTCCACTTGCTCTGTCGTACACATGCAGCACTAAACATTCTGTGCGTAAAGCCTTCTGTATTTCTGATGACTTTTATTTTAAGTGGTGCGCACTCATACATTGGTTAAATTAAACTTTTTTTTGAGAGAGAGCGTGCATGTGAGCGCGGGTGGGGGGTACAGAGGGAGAGGGAGAGAGAATCTTAAGCAGGCTCCCACACCCCGGCGCGGAGCCTGACATGGGGCTCAGTCTCACAACCCTGAGTTCATGACCTGAGCTGAAACCAAGAGTCGGATGCTTAACCGACTGAGCCACCCAGGTGCCCCTAAATTAAACATTTTTAAGACTCTTTGAGACAGTTTACAAAATTGTTTTCCAAAAAGGTTGGGTTTTATTAGCAGTGCCTAGGGTATGCATCTCAGCTCCCCACAACCCCTCCTGACAAAGACATGGAGAAAGATTGGGTCTTTATTAAGCATAGCCCAACATACTGATTACTTGGACTCTTCTTGCCATCCATTCATTTGTTCATTCATCCATTCATTCATTGTTTGTGCAAACCACACAAGAAAGGCTGATGGCAAAGGGCGTGAGACTGTGGAAGGAGCACGGGTGGGGAGCTGGCCACCACCGTTGTAATGCGGCCCTGTTCCCGCCTTGTCCTCTGCAGGCTGTGAACCCAGGCAGGTCCCTGTTCCTGCTGTATGCCCTCAAGAGCTCCCCAAGACTCGGTCTGCTGTACCTCTACCTATTTGACTACACAGACACCTTCCTACCCTTCATCCACACCATCTGCCCTCTGCAAGAAGACAGTTCTGGGGAGGACACCATCACCAGACTTTTGGTAGGTCTGCAGAGCGCCTTGAATGCAATGATTCTGCCACTCCTCAGCATGCTCTGGAGTTGGAGACGGGACTGGAGCTGTCATGGAAGAGCTAACAGCACCCAGCCTTAGGGAGAAACCCTCTAAGAGGACACAGAGCAGACCCTCCCCACTCCCAGAAGCCAGTTTTATTTCCTACATTACACAGCAAGAGGGGCTACCCTCTGGACCTGAAATATTTTGGGGGGTTGGGGGAACGGCATCGCTTTTGTTCTAAAAGAAGATAGCCTAGGTCTAGATTGCCCGAGGGTTAGATCTATGGACCTTCCAGCTTGGTCATCTGTCTGTTAAGAGGATCCCCAAAGGATGATTATTTGTCCCACTGCAGGGCAGGGTTAGCATCTACCCCAGTGGCCTCAGAAAAGTAAGCCTCATCCACCTCACTGATAGGAGTTGTCACATCAGCTGACCACAGGCCCCTGGCAGAGACAGTTACACACCTTGGCTTTTGTGTCTTCAGTGTGACCCATGGGGTCCTCCAGAATTGTTGGTGGATCCCACTTTTCTCTATGTCTGGTTGGTCATTTCAGGGAATGTCCTTTTGCATTGCTGCTCTTGGGGCCGTCCCTCTGATCTGTTTAAATCAAAAGTCACATGGTTATAGGAATCATCATATATGATCCATACCCGTAAATATTAAAGCAGAATTCCTAAATTTCCAAAGACCCTTTTTTAAAACACTTCAGTCAAGTGTCTGCCTAACTGACTTGGGCCTTGGGTGTAGTTTAAAGCCTGCTGATGAGCCCCTATGCAGTGGGGCTCATTACCCAGTTTCCTGCTGTTACCTGCCCTCGCTGGACTGGGAGCACAGAGACCTCCCTACCTTTCCATTTTAACAAGCCCCAACAACCCCTGCTCACTCAGCAGGCTCACTTTCTTCTTGCAATACTTAGTATCTGCTCCACTGTACACAGTCCTGCTGAGCTTCCCATAAGCCTTCTGGATGCCTCCATGAGTTGTTTAAATGCTCTGGTTAATTATTTGCTAATATCTGTAGTTAGAGTTTTTTATTTTCCCCAAAATTACTTTTTCAAGGTGTATGTTTAATTTTCCCATGATCTGTTATCATTCCAGTGCAGCTAAGATGTTGAATTTAGAAAACTGTCTGAGTTACCCGTGCAGTGAGGAAGAAATTTAAAAACTGGTCTAATTTCAATTCATTGCACCCTCACTATTTATACTTCATGCTTAGATTTTTACTTTTGCGTTTCCACTATTTTTTTTTATTAAAGATTTTTATTTATTTATTGAGAGAGAGAGAGAATGGTAGAGAGAGAGCATGAGAGGGAAGAAGGTCAGAGGGAGAAGCAGACTCCCTGCTGAGCAGGGAGCCCGATGCGGGACTCGATCCTGGGACTCCAGGATCATGACCTGAGCCGAAGGCAGTTGCTTAACCAACTGAGCCACCCAGGCGCCCCATGCGTTTCCACTATTACATAAGAAGCATCTCAGTTCAACTTCTTTGGTAACATTTATCCAGTGTAAGATTAGTTATTTATAAAGGTGAGCTGATGGATGGAAATCTCATGTTATGTTGTTGGATATGCGGGTGTTTTAATAAACGTAAGGTTCACTGTGAGGACCACAGTATTTTCCGTAAAAGTCAATCCTCACGACTTTTTGTGCCCACTTGTGCTTATTTTTATGTTATTTTAAAGGATCTTCGAGAGCCCACATGGAAACAATGGAGAGAATTTCTTGTCAAGTACTCCCTCCTTCCATACCAGCTGATTGCTGAATTTGCTTGGGACTGGCTGGAGGTCCATTACTGGACGTCACGGTTTCTCATCGTCAATGCCATGTTACTCTCGGTTCTGGAATTATTCTCCTTCTGGAGGATCTGGTCAAGAAGTGAACTGAAGTAAGTGTGTTTTTACATTGGAGATGGCTGACACAGCAGGCACTGCGAAAGACTGACCAAGTGGTGGAAGGGTCCTCTCTGAAGTAGTAGGTAAACGGGAGAACAGTCCTTGGGCCCTGGTTTAGAAACGCTGCTTAAGCAGCGAATAGGAAACTGTCCTCATGTTTGGGGGCGGGGAAGTTTTCGTGGTGCTCACTGTTTAAGAGTTTCTCCATATATCTTATCCCCGTGTAATAACATATGTACTTCTGGGGCCGGGGGTGTGCATGAAGGATTGTATTAAGGAATGCATAAGTGAGAAGAAAAGGGTTCTTTATGGAGAGGGCACTGTGGTAGAGCATAATGAGATCTGGTGAGGAATTCTGTAGGCATGAGTTCTAATCCTGCTCGGCCACTGAGCAGGACAGTAATCACTTCTCTGGATTAATGCAGAAAATGAGAGCGTTGGGCTAGCCAGTCGGAGTCCGGACTCTTGGTTGCATGTGATAGAAACCAGCCCGAATTGGCTTTCCCGAAAAGAGAAATGCCCCACCAAGGCTTCCTGCATGGCTGGATCCAGAGACCCAAATACTGTCGTCAGGACTGATCCTCTCCCTCTCACAGCCCTGCTCTTTGCTCTGTTGTTCAGCCTCCAGCAGCTCTCTTCACGCAGGGCCCATGGTCACTCGGGGCACAGATCTGAGCAGCTTAGCACCCCTGGTGGAGAGAGAGCACTTCTTTCCCCATAGCACTTACAGTCTCGGGGCTCACACTCCTTCGCTCTGATTGGCCCTGCCTGGGTCCCCTGCCCACCCAGATCTATCACCCGGTGCCAGGGTATGCCAGGCTCTCCTTGTCCAGGCTCAAGGCATGCCCTCACCCTCCCAACCAGGGGCTGGCTTCAGATCCACCGAGACCACATGGAAAAGAAAAGGGGAAGGAGGCACCCAGAAGGAAAACCAGAAAGTGTTTCCAGAAGAAAGGGGGTGGCTAGTGGGCAGGCAGAAGTAACAAAGCCCCACACCAGCATCCTTACAGCCTTAAACATCCCATGACTCAGAGTTCTTGGCCTCGTCAGTCAGGAACAGCCCTATATATAGTTCCAAAAACCTGACAAGAATCTCCTTTTGATTTATTCAGGCTCACGGTTAACTGAGCCCCTCCTCTGCCCCTGGCTCTCTGCCAGGCACTGCAGATGTTTTGGTAAAGAACACAGACAGTCTGGACTCCGAAGGCCCATAGCCTCACAGAGAAAATACGGATATTAAATACATACAAGTGCGACCCAGCGACGAAGCCGGGGGGCTGTGCTGGGGGGGTTGGGGGGGTCCTTGCCCAGTTTGGGGACCAGGACCAGGCATACCCCGCAGGCTGCATGCTGGAAGTGGAGGATGGTTGGTCAGGCAGAGGCATGCCTCGAGCAGCAGGGCCGGGAAGCAAGGTGCCTGCAGCAGCAACGGCCAGGCTCCGCGCTGGGAGAAGGCCCAGGGCCCGAGCACTCTGGCGTCATCATTAGAAACAGCATCACCAGTCCACTGCTCAGATGCTTCTCTTCTTTTCCCAGGACCGTGCCTCAGAGGATGTGGAGCCATTTTTGGAAAGTATCAACACAGGGGCTTTTTGTGGCCATGTTCTGGCCCCTGATTCCTCAGTTTGTTTGCAACTGTTTATTTTACTGGGCCCTGTACTTCAACCCGATTATTAACATTGATCTCGTGGTCAAGGAAGTCCGACGGCTGGAAACCCAGGTGTTGTGACTTGCACTGCGCAGGCCCTGAGGGACTCTTCCAGCCTCCTTGACATCGGAGCATTGATGCTTGAGCGGGGGGGGGGAGCAGACTTCCTATTTCTGCGCCTCATGAACAAGGTGCTGCTTTTTCTGTCAGAGGCTCTAACCAGGTCCTCTCTCCCATGCCTGTGGCATCCTGGCGGCAGGGACTGACAGCCCAGAGCTCAGCCGACACAGCAACAGCACCTCCCAGCCAGCCACCCTCCTCACAGGGACTGGGGAGGCCCGCTCCACCACGGCTCTCAAGGACCGGGACCCCAGAGGATGTAGTGTGGCAATGGCAGAAGGCTGCCGCGTCAGCGGTCCCGCTTGACAAAGGCTCCCGGCGCCAGTTGCAGCCTGAGGCCGAGCCCAAGACCCGGCTCGTTGGGGCCAGGCCCGTCCTCTAAGGCAAATTTAGGAAAACCGGGAGAAGACTTTGTCATAGGCATAGACAGTTGCACATAAAAAATCCAGAGGAGAAGCCCCAATCTGATGGATGATTCTGTATTATTAAAGAGTTGCTAGAAGATTTGTCAAGAGTTATGCATCTAAAAGGATTCTCTTTGAGACTAGACTGGTGGTCAGACTGTCGTCAGGTTTTCCACGCATAATCGCTGCAAGTTTGGATCCCTGACTCTGGGGTGGGGATTGAGTAGGATGTCAGGCAATAATGGAGAGTAATTCACGTCAGGCTGAGCTGCCTCAGTGCTACTTAAAATGATTGTTGTGGGGTTGGTTTGTTTTGTTTTCAGGAATTTAATATCCAGGATAATCCTTTTGTTCAAGGAAACATTTTGTACATTGACCTCGCACTGTATAATCTTAACTGTCCTGTTCTGATGTATAAAACAGCAAGTATAATTACAGCAAGTGCTGTAATTGTAAACATGAATGAGATGAAGCAGGGCCTTTTCTTTCCTTCCAGTGTAAAGACAGCAGGTGTGAACATGAGCCATTGGAAGATTGGCCCCGCGGAGGTAGGCTTGCATCCACAGTGTTGTTTTGTGACTCCATGAACCCTTCATTAATCCTTTGGACCTTTGAACATTTCCCTCAAACTTTGCATCCGAAAGTTTGAAGATATCACTTGAAAGTAAAATAAAGATTTTTATATAGATAAAAGCCCTGTCTAGAGAAAAAGAGAATTGCTTGGAAAATGTGAAGAAAATCTGCATTGCCCCATACAGCCTGCTAGTCACACTGAAGTGCCCCAGCCTGATGTGAGAGCCACCCTGCGGTGTCCAACGTAAAAAGGAGGGAGAGTGTTTTTCTTCCTCCTGCGCTTGCTCATTAGGCCCCAGGGCTGCCAGGCCTTCCCCCTGTCACTGACCGCATTGCAGGTCTGGGGACTCCACGCACTATTTGCACATCCCTGGCCTGGTGCCTTGCACAGTTACTGTTCTTTCCAGCTGAGCACGGGGAGGCTGGTTGGCATCGGTGGGGCTAGGCCCAGGCCAGACTGCCAGTCCAGTGTCCCCACGTGTACCCTGTGGACTCACAGCGTTCCCCACCTCCTCCCCACATCCTGCTTCAAGGATGAGTGAGTAATACCCACATATGCGTTGGGAAGGAGGAAGGGCAGACAGGCTGGGCCGGACTCTCGCTTCTTGTCGCCAGAGTGGGGACAGGCACATTGAGAGCCGGGGCCACTGGCTGCCTGTCTTGGCCCTCAGACCCTCTCAATCATAGCAGGCTTGGGTACCCAGAATGGGGCACTTACTGAAAATATTCAGGCCCTTTGATGCAGAAATTGCACTTCGGCAAGTCTGGTGTAAGAGAGCAAGAATTCCTGTCCCCATTCAAGGTCCTTCCAGCTGGACTACGAATCAAATTGACAAGAGACAGATCAGCGGAGAATCAAACTTAACTTTGTACGTACGGGGAATCCACGCAGGCATGGCAATTCCAAAGAGGGGCAAAACAAGGCCAAATGTCATCCTGCACTAAGGTAGGGATGTGGGCCGTCAGAGGGAAGGAATGCATTTCACAGGAATGCAGATGTTTGGTAACGAGCTGTTTGCCCTGCCACGCAGATGGGCCTCTCAGATAAAACTGATCTCTGGTACTAACCCTCATTCTAGGACAGACCCCCAATTTAGATTCTTCTAGGTAGTTAAAAGGAGGGGCAAAAGTTTCTCTTGAGCCCGCGGGGTCTCTGCTGCCTTCAGTTCAAAATAATCTTCATACCATACCCATCTTGGGGCGGCCTGCCCTCGGCCATGACACTGGGTTAAGGAACAATAAAAAGGGGGGCGGTGGGGTGTAGCAAAGATTTATTCATAAGCAGCCTCGTCACGTCAATAATCGATAAAAACTGGAAATACCAATACCCAAAAGTGGGCAATCTATAAAACAGTATGTTATACAGTTACTTAAAATGAAGTTTCCAAAGGGTTTGTAATGACGTCGGAAAAAACTTGAGGAAGTCCTATGCTGTGGTCTCAACTGCATTTTTAATTATCACAGAAAACACTGATGATAGCTCACAGAGATACTAAAATTAGTTATTCTGGATTGTGGGAATTAGAGTGATTTTTTTCTCTCCTTTATATTTGTCTTTATTTTCCTTTATCTTTTTAAGCATTGAGTGTATTCTACCTCTGTAACCAGGAAATTTAACCGTTAGGTGGAGTGGGATGGAGAAGAATACTCTTTCTTAAGCTCATAACTACCAGACTAGAACTTCACAGGAGTGGGCATGTTAAGATTTTATTTATTTGAGAGAGAGAGAAAGCACGAGCAGGGGGGAGGGGCAGAGGGAGAGGGAGAAGCAGGGAGCCCAACCCGGGGCTCGACCCCAGGACCCTGAGATCATGAGCTGAGCTGATGGCAGATGCTTCACTGACTGAGCCACCCAGGCGCCCCAGGAAGGGGCATCTTGTTCATTGCCTCATCCCGGAACACAGAACAAGGCCAGGCACGTGGTAGGTGTTCGTTCATGTTTGACCACCCGCCGTCAGGAGCAGGTTAGAACACAAAGCTCAGCCCTTTTCATAAAAGGCGAATCTCAAAAATGGTACCAAACCCAATACAGCCATAGGCCTAGTTGTGGTTTTATAAAATAGCACGGGACTCTTGACCTTAAACTGGAAGCCACACAGGCTCCAGCCCCAAGTTCCAGGAGAGAAAGCAAACAAGGGTTGCAGCTTTCACCCTTGGCCTTCGTTCCCTCCTGCAAAGAACTGAATGCAGCTGTTGATGAGTGAAAAAAAAGAGATTTTATTTCCTTGTGTGAAAAAACATTCCAAGTTAGGCTAGGCAGTCACACTGGGGCGAGTCCTTCTCACATAAGAGACGGGGGTAGAATAAGTACTTTAAGTCGTACTTAGTCTGGGCTAAGCAGTAAGCAATCTCCTTGTCACACTTGCACAAGAGCTCCTGGCATTTGTTCTCCGCTGGTCCTGGAAGAAGTGGGGAAACTGGTTAAAGCAGGGCCTCTCAGAGACTTGACAGTAAACACTAGGGAAGCCAAGAAGCTGGAGGCAGGAAGGGTGGTAAGTTGCATCTACCTGACGCTTGGCAATTCACCACGTGATCTCCATCCTGGCAAATTCTGGGGGGTGGGGAGGGGGCGACGTTGACCCCGTTTTATGGAAAAGGACCCCGAAGTTACCAGGGAAGTGTTTTCAGTTGGAAAAGTCCAAAGTCCATGCGACCTTCTGGCTTCTCTTCCACATCAATATTACACTACCTCCCCAGAGGATCCGTGCAGATAAGCAGTAGGTGCCTGGGAACAATCCAGGGCGCTTTTTCGGAATGCCTGCTCTGCTACTTCCTACCTGGGTCACCTTGCCCAAGGTTTCTGAGCCAGGTCCTCACTGGAAACGCGGGTCACGGAGAAGCCCGTGTAGGGTGCCCAGCAGCAGCTTGGCAAGGGACGGGCACTCGGTCAATGTCAGCTCCGCCTGCATCTCTCTGCCTTCCTTCTCCACGTCTCTTCCCCCTGCTCCTTCAAGAGCGTATTCCATCTTCCCCTTCCAGCCTGAGCCTGCCTTGTAGAGACGCAGAGGCCGCCACTCGAAGGTCAGTCTCCGCCTTGGCAGTAATCCCGCCATCGGAGATTCACTGCTTGGGGTTAGAAAGATTCCCTGATCTTCAAGTGGTATCTTACTGATCTAGAAGGCATGATCCCTGAAACAGCTTTGGAAATCCCACCTAACCATGCCACCCACTGCCTCTTAGTGTGGGCTTTTAATTATTCACATACATGTAAATACAAAACTCACCCACCATTGAATCCTTCCAAATTCCCTCCATAGGCAGCTTTGAAGTTAACCAGCTTGGTCATGGATGTAGCAGCTCTGTGCCTTTAGACACATCACTTCATCCCTTCTAGGTGTCTCCTCAGGGCAACACGGGGATGCTAATAGTACCTACTTCTAAGGGCTGCTGGGAGATCGAAAAGACACCCAACAGATCATTTTACCCAATGGGTAAAATGCAGGGCATACAGGAGACACTCAGTAAGCTGGAGCCAACCTCCTTCAGCAGCCAGCCACTCTTTAAGGATCCTCTCGTGTTTCTTGGAGGGGCGCCTGGGAGGCTCAGTCAGTTAAGCGTCTACCTTCGGCTCACGTCATGATCCCGGGGTCCTGGGATCGAGCCCCGCATGGGGCTCCCTGCTCCGCGGGAAGCCTGCTTCTCCCTCTCCCACTCCCCCTGCTTGTGTTCCCTCTCTCGCTGTCTCTCTCTCTCTGTGTCAAATAAATAAATAAAATCTTTAAAAAAAAAAAGTTTAAAAAAATAAATTTAAAAAATCCCCTCATTTTTAAATAGTAAGTCAATTAAATAAATTATAATTTAATTATATTACATGGTATTAAATTACATTAAATAAATTTAAAAATAAAAAATTAATTCTATCATTGCCATAAGTAGAAAACCAAAATCTTATACCATAAATATAAGAAACTGGTCGAAAAACAACAAAAACCAGGGGAGGTAAATTTCTAATATTAAAGGCAAGTTAGATGATATTGCCTCCCTAAAGGCTGTAAGCCCCAAATCGGGGTGTCTTGGTTAAAAGCAGGGTGATTAGCAAGTGTAAGAGAGGTTTAACCTCTCCAGCTGTCCAATCATCCCACAACGGACACTTACTCCTTGCCTAACTGGAAAAATTAACAGAGAACCGAAAGAGAACATTTTTCTCATATAAATTCATCATGAAGCTTCCCAAACTCTAGAAAACTACTGGAAGGGAGGACCAAACACAAACACCCCCCAAATCCAAAAGCCTGTGTTTAAACTCTTTGCAAAATGCCTTGGTTATATTCATTAAATCAATAACAAGAAGTCAGGACGACGGACGCCAGCCTTTATTGGGCATTTATGCAAAGCCAGGTACCAGGCAAAGGGCTCCATGGTCCCCATCTCACCCAGCCCTCAGGGCTGTGCCACAGGGCACCCCAACCTTCCAGAGGAGAAATCCAAGAAGTGGCGAGAAGACTAGGACCCCAACTGGGTCTTGTGACCCGTCTGCAGGAAGGAAATGGTGCAAGGACTCGGGACGCGCCCACCCTTGCAATTCATGTTTGTAACACAGGATTCTTTAATAGGGTTTTAATGACATGAGCAACAGCTTATACTTAGGCAAAAAATAAGGGATACAAAACATACTGCCGTATTTTTTTTTTACACTTGATCTTAGCCAAAAGGCCAAGAAGTGATGCCATGTATTTTTTTAATGATGCACTTGAAAAAGACAGGAAAAACACCAGAAGGTTAGTCAAGGGGTTGTCTGTATAGTATCAATGGGAGTTTTGTTTCCCATAAAACTTTATCTCATACTTTTCTACTTCGACCCCTATGATACTTTCCTCACAGAAAAAGCAATCTCAAACAAAATTTGAAGAGTCGCTATTTCAAGGTGTAATTTAAGATATCTGTTAGATTTAAAATATCAATACCACTGACTCGCAGTGCCATAAAGAGGTGACCTTTGGGGGCTGGGAGCTTTCGTGGCCTTCCTCCCCACTAATATTCACCAGTTTCCCCCTTTATCCCCTCCCAAGCGTCTATAAATAAACACGATTCACATTTTTTTTTAAGTGCCCTTGCCATGTAAATTCCCCTTCAAGAAAAGTCCCCGAGGGGTGCCTGGGTGTCCCAGTCGTTAAGCGTCTGCCTTTGGCTCAGATCATGATCCTGGAGTCCCGGGATCGAGTCCCGCATCGGGCTCCCTGCTCGGCGGAGAGCCTGCTTCTCCCCCTGCTTGTGCTCTTTCTCTCTCACAAAATAAATAAAATCTTAAAAAAAAAAAAAAAAGTCCCTGAGCCAGCCCCCAACCCCTTTCTACATACAAATACTAGAGATGGCTCAAACTCACCATCAGACCCAACGGTTCTAGGACTCGATGCTACAGAACCCTCACACAGGTGCACAAGGATTTATGAGCCGCCAAGATCTCTGCAACCATGGGCAGCAGTTGATGGGGAAGTGGTCAAGATAAAGTACCTTCATGTCCCAGACCAGTTGTTCTCAACCGTGGGCATTTGGCAATGTCTGGAGACATTTTGGGTCGTCACAGTGGGAGTGGGGGGCGGTGCTACTGGAGTCAAATTGTCAACAGTGTCAAGACTAAGAAATTCTGCCATAGGTTATTATCTTGCTTTATTTTTTTATTTTTTTAAGATTTTATTTTTTAAGTGATCTCTACATCTAACGTAGGGCTCAAACTCACAACCCTGAGATTAAGGGTGGTAGGCTCTACTGACTGAGGCAGCCAGGCACCCCTTATTATCTTCCTTGAAAAGGAAGAGGTCGACTCCTATGTTCCAAGATGTCTAAGATATGATGTTAAGTGAAAAAAATGATAAAATGTATGTAGCATATTTACACACACATACAAATCTGGTAGAAGAGATGGCAACCTTAACAGAAGCTAGTTAACTCTGGGGCGCCTGGGTGGCTCAGTCGTTAAGCGTCTGCCTTCGGCTCAGGTCATGGGATCGAGTCCCACATCGGGCTCCCTGCTCGGCGGGAAGCCTGCTTCTCCCTCTCCCACCCCCCCTGCTTTTGTTCCTGCTCTCGCTGTGTCTGTCTCTGTCAAATAAATAAATAAAATCTTTAAAAAAAAAAAACAAAAAAGAAGCTAGTTAACTCTGGTGGATGGAGTGTCACTTTCTACATGACAATCTGTTTTTTAAAGGTTTATTTATTTTAGAGAGAAAGAGAGAGGGAGCAAGCGGGGATGGGGTGGGTGGGCAGAAGGAGGGGGAGAGAGAGAATCCTTGAGCAGACTCTGTGCTGAGCACGGAACCTGATGTAGGGCTCGATCCCAGGACCCCGAGATCACACCTGAGCTGAAACCAAGAGTCAGACGTTCAACCGACTGAGCCACCCAGGCGCCCCTCCACATTACGATATTTCCTTAACGTTTGAGTTTTTCACAACAAACTCGTTAGGTTTGAATGAGAACAAGCAGGCGGATGAATGGACAGATAGACGATGATTGGTAGATAGATGGATGACAGAGCCCTCTGCCAGTAAATTTCCCCTAGGCTGCCACATGAGAGATGCAGGCACCCCCAGAGCAGCATGACCCCGTGGACTCCCGAGGAAGGAGCCGTTGAAGCCCCAGGGTGGTCTTGTTCCCACAGAGCTGACTGTCTAAGGATGGGCTCACTGAGACGAATACCCCAGCCATCTCCTCTCCACTCACCCATCCATCCATATGTCCTCACCAAGACTGCCGCCACAGCCTCATAACCAGTGCCTGGCTTCCACCCTCACTCCTTCCAGGATATGCTCCACACAGCAGCCCAGGAGTTCAGTTAAAACGCAAATCGGATCATGTCCCTCCTCTGTTCAAAACCTTGGCTCCCCATGTCAGAGGAATGCTTTCCACGTTGTGTACAATCTGGACCGTCTCGCTCTGACATCATCACCCCACCACTCTCATCTAGGTGACTCTGCTCCAGCCTCACCATCCTCCTTGAGCTTCTGGAACCACCCAGACATTCATTCCTGCCTCAAGGCCTTTGCACTGGCTGTTCCTATCACCTCTTTACATGGCTTCTCTCACATTCCCCAGGTCTCTGTTTCAGTGGCATTTTATCACTGCTTCTCTGGCCCCAGACCATTCTATATAAAAGAGTATCCCTTACCCTGCTCCCCTGCATTTTTTTATTGCGGTGAAATTCCCAAAACAAAATTTACCATTTTAACGTGCACAAGTCAGCAGCATTTAGTACCTTCACAGTGTTGTGCAACCATCACAATATTTCTATCACTCCAAAAGAAACTTCATACCCATTAAGAAGTCACTCATTTCCCCTCACCTGAGTCCCACTGATCTCTTCGGGCAACCACTAATCTGCTTTCTAACTCCATGGATTTGCCTATTCTGGACATTTCATAAAAATGGAGTCATATGGTATGTGAACTTTTGCGTCTGGCTTCT